CGATGTGGGTATTTCTCTGTAAGTGGGGCAGCAGCTAAATGTATTATATCTACCGGCAGCTGCTATTTATGCTTTGTTAAAAGCCGCCATGCCTCTATTGGCAAAAAACTGTATTTTGACTTTGAAGATCAAGAAAATCACTGGTATACTGCTACCTACATCGCCTAGTTTGAAATTATTATGGTGTGATTTTGGAAAGTACAAATTCCCCAAAGTCACACATTAACGTAAACTAACCAACCAAGCAGCTGTAGACAACCTCCTCTGTTCTGCGAGGTAAAATTACAATATTTATCAATGGAATTGGAGAAGGTGAAGCATATATATCATTTTCAGTGCCCCGTCAGATAGGGTTGTCTGATAGGGTTGTCTGATAATATAAAGCAATTGAAATGTTCTAAATATAGTGTACACATAAACTTAAAATGATTATTTTATGGGCCGAAAGTATGTTTTGCTGCTGCCCCCGTCCACAGCAGAACATTGCCTAGCTTCCGTGTGCACTCCAAAAAACTAAGTTAAAACTAAATAATACACTAAGTACGATAAGTACCTCATACAGCCCCACTATAAATAATTTGACCTATCCTGTTGAATAAGTGAACAATGTAGGGATTTTGTATATATATTTCAGTGCAGATTACAATGTTGTCATCAGTGCAAAAAGGAGAAGATACTTGCTTTTGGTTCCAACATATTAGGCATAGATACTCCCCTGTCCATCCTTGCAAGTGCTGCACGGCCATCCTTAATGTGCTAAAGAATAGAACATACACACATGTAATATAGTAGAAGGGGACTGTATTTTAATGGTATGAATGTGTCCACTAATGACTGCGGGTGCAGTGGTCACTGGATGGAGCTTGGATACAGTTCACGTTTTTAAGAAGTATTTGAGATGGAGAATGTTTTCTGAATGTGTCTGTAATTTTTTTAATCATATATTTAAAATGTGACGTTTAGCTTGAGTCAAAACATTGGAAAACAACACACAAAACAAGACATGAGGCTATGATTGCACATTGCATTTACAGTACACTGGCTCAGCTACTGGGCAGTGCATGTTTTAGCATTTGAAATCACTGCACTGCATGCCCTGTAGTTGACATTTACTCCAACAGTGATGCAAGCATGTAGCAGGAGTGGGCGGTGTGAATTCAGGGCAAGGTGCCTCTTGTAACCCATGAGCAAGCAAATATATGATGCAAGGTGAGGAAGCATGCCATGTGAAAAAGCAGATGAGAGACATACCTGAAACTCTGCAGGACAACATGGGACAGAAAATGAGACTCACAGTTAATGGTTTTGCTGTCAAATCCCCTGCCAGGCTACATTATACAACACTGTTCTCCCTGATGACACATTGTGTGACTCATTATGCAAATATTTTTAAATGCATGTCCCATTTATGTACACGTAGCAAGCGATTTCTGAATATTGATGCTGAATAGCTCTGGTGACATTTGCAAGAGATTAGCTTGTTTGCCACCTTCTGGTAGCAGCTCTCACCTCTGCCTCCCCCACAAATGTCACTGTAGCTGTTGTACTGGGTGAAGTCTGTGGACTGGGGCTGCGGGAAAACAGACAACAGTACATCAAAATCAACATATGGGTATTTTGTTGCTTACTATGAACCAGAATAAGATTTAAGAAGTATTAGGGAAGAAATGCGTTTATAATTAGTGTTTCTGGCATTGGAGACAATATGCAATGGATTTAACATGCGACCTCTGCTTATAGGTGAGACATTTTTTTCTGTTTGTCATTTTTCTGCATTTTACGGAAGCCCTGAGGGGCAAAAATATATATATGAACCATTTGCTAAGAGTGATCTAAATTGTTTTCTATTCTGTGTTTAAGACTAAGGAACAGGTGAAATAAAAGTTTTTACCACGATACTCTAAACACAATGGAACTTATCTTTTCCCCACAGATTAAAAACAAATCAACATTAGTGCCTCTTACAGCGTTAGTATTTAGCTGTTTCTGAAACATAACCAACAGCTATATTTTTAAGCGTGAGTGAACCCTTACCCGATGCAGCCCGTTCCTTCGATAACCAGGCAGAGAGTTAGTTTGGGTTGGAGAAGTTGGTTCTGAAACATAAATAACGTTCCAATTTATACAAAAGATGATGACTGAAAACAGGAGCATTTACATTAACACAAAATTCAAATCACAAAATTAAGCTATTCCATAACCTAGACATGTTACAGTAAAACAAATACAAACATCTGAAAGTGTTATATAGAACAGACCATGTTATTACAGTACATTGCTGACAACTCAGGCCCACATTAACTGATGAGGCTGCTCTACCTGCGTCACAGTCGGTCTGTTTGGGGTCGTAGCGCTGAGCAGAGAGGCTACGTGTGTGACGCTCCCTGATCTGATCTTTTTCCATCTCCTCCTTCAGAATGAGCTTTCCCAAACCAGACTGAATCTACACAAACACATTTACACACATTTAATAAATACAGTACACATTCACACATAAACATCAATTTATGAGATTTACAAGATCTACAGTATGGCAAATTGTTTGGATACATTTTTTTTTAAAATCTCGGAAATGTTGAATAATATAGCCTTAAAGTGGACCTATCATGCTATATTTGAACAATATATTGTAGGGTCATACCTATATAAAGTATATAAATATAGTTTTTTTTTCAAAATACCAAACAGATCCTGCATTTTAGCCATGCCTCATTTCGCTCTATTTGCTCTTTCAAGCGCTGTTTTTGCAGGGGGCTGATTCTGTGACGTAGCTTTAATGCAATCAGCTGCTGGGCTGTCAGAAGAGGGGGAGAAAAAGAGATCTCCGTCCTCCGTGTTTTATTCTTATATGATTATATAGAGTCGTTATTCATTTGTTTTTAAGCTCAATAAACAAAGAAGACCTTTGACCGGCACTTTTCTAATTTTGTCCGGAAGATTTAAACTTTAACGGACATGTTGACCGGCGAAAAAAAATCGAACTGAAACTCTGCCGCACGGTCCCCTCGTTCTTTGGAAGAGGCGGAGAGGTGGGTGTTTGTCATCTGCTGGTGGACTAACCGGAGAGAATTACAGTGCTTGCCTCGACGGGGAGGGATTGCATTGAATTACAGCAGCAGGAGCAAATGCTTGCCTCTGGGAGCCACAGAGGAGAATAAACAGAAGGGCAACCATGGCAACCAGTCCAGTCTTCTTCACTGCTTTTGTGGCAGACTACAGCGCCACTTACAGGTCTGGCATATGTACTACAGCGTCTCCAGCGCTTTCGAGCGGCAATGGCCCAACCCCACATTCCCCTGATAGGTGGAGAGTTGCCCATATAGGCGGAGCTCCTCGTTCCTGACGTCAGAGAATTTTCAAATCTGTATCAGTCTGTATCAGATCCGTTGCAGCCCCGTTTTTAGAGATTTGGGTATGGAGGAAAAGAGAGAGGGTTGTGTTTTCTGACACTTGGTGAGTTCCCTGACACACCGGGGACACATATTCATGTATAAAAGACGTACAAAAGTGCATTTTGCATGATAGGTCCCCTTTAAGTTGAAGATTCAAGATAATCTCCCTGACCTTGCTGAGATGTTCCTCGTGGATCTGCTTTTTTTTCAAGGTGTCTTCCTCCTCCTCTTCTCTGGATCGTCTTCCCCCTTCTGAACCTACAATGGTTGTTAACAGTCCAAAATATTTTATATTTAAAAACCATATTTACATACACACACATAGAAACACACTAGAGGAAACCATGCTTCACATGTACTTGTATGTCAAGTACAACCAGATGAAATGCTTCATCCACAGGTCACATTTAGAGAAAGACACAACACTGAGTCTGCTTCACTCGGCTGTAGAGCAGTGAGGAACACACATAGTTTATGAGCAATAGGTGGACGGAAGAACACAAATGTGAGACAGAGTTGACGAGACAGACAAACAGAGCGACTTATTGGAATATTTGGCTCGACTGACATGCCGTGAGGTTTACACTTCATCATTCATGTCAAGATTTTGTAGACAGAACAGCACAATGTACAACAGACAGACAAGTTTGAAGTCAGTCTCAGTTATCTCTGTCCAAGTCATTTGTGGCACTACTGTGTAAAGCTAGTGCACCCATCATGTGCAGTAAGTGAACGAAAAATAGCGAAACTGATGCTACCTCAAGCAGAAAATAATATGGCAGCAACAGAAACCAAACAACGGGCAAATAAAAGGCAAATACTGTAATGCCAGAATAAAAGCGTTAGCTCTGATTGAAGCGGGGATGCAGTTAAGCTAGAGGGGCAGCTGTAAGGGTGAAACAACAAGAGTTAGGTTGTGGTGAGTTGTCTACTGCACCACTAGAAGATAGCAGTGCAAGCATGCCCATCAGAGCCTACTGTACCTAATACAGCAAGAGAGCAAGGCCAGCGGTCGCCCTCACTCCGCGAGCTGTCATCCGGAGATGGAGCATGGGCAGCGGGGAAGGTGGCCGATCTGATGATCTCATCAGCAGACTTGCTTTGACGTGCTATGGCATCTGTATCTAGGTTGTAACCATAGGAACTGATCTATCAGTGTCTGAGTCAAAGTCTCACCCACAAATAAACATTTCAGCACCATCTGATCATCGATCGAGGTCTTAACGATCATGAATCTCGGTTGTCCAGGTGTAAATATATGCCAAATAAATGTTTTCCTAACAAGTCACTGAATATTGGATAATGCCTTTTACTAATCACAGATGGATAAGAGCCTTGTTTTTAAGGATGTTTCATGATTATTGTAGTGAAATGCTATGCTTACAGTAGCTGGCAAAATAAGGCTGACGGCCACAACAGCAAACTTGGGATTTTAAAAATAATAATAAAGTATTTTGTATTACAATGATGGCTGATGTCAGCTAAAATGGGCAAACTTCAGTTAGATTAAGTCAATGTAACTGACAATATCAATTTTTCGACTTTATGAACCGTCTCTACTTGTGCTATTGTTACATTACTTTATATCAGCCACGGATATACAGTAGAGGTTGTGGTGTAATTCTTCTCACTCTTAGTCAGGTTGCAAATGACTCTTCATGAAATTGAAGAGTCATTATCCTGTAAATTGTCACAGCTCGGCAAAGGTTACATAATCTCGCTTTGAGAAAATTGCTACTGTGACTTGTTAAGAGACAAAGTGCAGTGTGTAAAACAAGCTACAGGTCAGACAGAAGAGGATTGGAGACAGACTTCAAACAGTGCTCATACACTGACACTGGGGATGACTACACAGTCAAATGAAAACATAGTTTGACTTGATTAACAAAATGACTTTCTGTCAAGAGCCCAGCTCAATAACATTACACTACCTAGAAGTATTACTTTGAACTTGTACTCAGACATTTTTCACACAGGCTGTACAAGAGGAGGAAAGGTACCGTGTTGTTTGTAGATAGGGGGTTTTCTGTAGATGTTGCTCCCTTGATCTGAAAACATTCAGATACATACAGAAAAGTCATTTCTCTGAGCAAACAGTGACTCTGTCACACATATTAAACATTTATTTTCAACACAAAGTGATGACGATGCATAGGGACTACACTCAATCACCGTTTTTCCTGCATAATGAAAGAGGGGAAAAAGCAAAAGCTGATCCCAAATGGATTATAATGACAGATAGATGGATAGATAGATAGATGGATAGATAGATAGATAGATAGGTAGATAGATAGGTAGATAGATGGATAGATGGATAGATAGATAGATAGATAGATAGAAAGATAGATAGAAAGTAGGGACGAGCAGTGACAGGGTGCGCTCCAGCTCCTACCTGGGAGGTGGAAATGTTTAGGGGTCAGAGAGAGAGGCGGGGTGACCGGCCGGCTGTCGGGCCTGAGCGGGAGGGGGGAGCTCCGGCCACTCGGGGGGTCAGTGCCTCCAGTGAGAAGAACCAAGAACAGAACATAAGCAGGGAAACTGAAGGGGAACCACAGTCTGAGCGGCGCAGCACACGGGACCAGAGGAGGTCATTTTGAGCGGGTGGGAGACATTCTGGTAGCTTTTGATAAATGCAGTTAATGGAGCTGTATGCTATGAAGGAAAGCACAAAAGCGGAACAAACTATATAATAGCGAATTGGGATATGCACTGCAATGATTCATGAACTATAATGTATGTTAGTCTAAAATATCATGTGAATTCACAGTTTGATAAGAGTTCACAGTCAGGAAGTTAATGACTCCACACAGCGTGCAATGGCAAACTTATATTACAGAACCTTTTTCTATCTCAGTTTTACAGTTTACTGAGGTCTAGAGACTCATTCTGTCAAAAAAAACCTGTCAGTTTGGATATTGGATTATGATACATGCAAAGCTGCAAAAACACAAGCCCAAAGAGCCTGTCAGCTACTTTGGCGGAGGCTGTGAAGAAGAAGGGCATGCGAGTTAGTGAATAATCAATGATTTGACCACATGACCATTCAGGAAGACAGATATATTTTAATGAGAAATGGCGATGGATCCAGAATGACAGATGGGGCAGTGACGGGGAGGTGGCATCCCAGGTGGGGATGGAGGTGATGCGTTGCCTTAGGGGGGGAAGCGGAGAGGAGTGGAGTGGGGCCCTTACCTTGGCTATGGGGGAGGAAGTGGTGTCTGAAAGGGGAGGTGGGGCGTGAGTCACTATTTCTGGAGCCCACACTGTTACTGCACAAGGAGGAGCAGAGCTTCTGCATGCCTGTCAGAGCCTCTGCAGGGATTGAGGGTGTGGGACAAGGGACAAAAACCCCAGGAGCAAACCAGGCAGTGGATGATGGGGGGGGAGATAGAAGGTGAGAAGGTGAGGAACAAAAGAAAAAGGAAGATATACAGGAATCAAAAGTCAAAAAGAGGAAATAAAAGTCACCAAAAGTGAGAGATGGCGAGTATTCAAGATAAAACAAATAATAAACATGTAAAGAATTACATTTAAAGAGACAGCTAAACCCAAAAGCCCTAACACATATTTGTCCTCCTACCTATTGTGTTATTTATCAATCTGTATTGCTAATGTGTGAGGAGCCTATTGTTGGAGATATTAGACGTAGAGGTTCATTTTGAATATGAAATAACTATATGGCAATTCGTTTTTTTGGTGTTCAAAGCACCAATAATGAATCATGTGAAAAACCCAACAGACTAGCAAGTCAATAATAATAATAATAATAATAATAATAATTTCAATTTATATAGCGCCTTTCACGAAACCCAAGGACGCTTTACAATGGGAAGTAACAAAACAAAAAGTAATAATAATCATACAGATACATAGGCTGAAGAAAACAAAACAGGAACAGGTTGCTGAGTACTGTATATTAGTTGAGGCCAAAGGCCTGAGTGAACAGATGGTGTTTGAGGTGTTTTTTGAAGGTGTCCAGAGTGTCTGCATTCCTGATTGCAGAGGGGAGAGAATTCCAGAGGGTGGGGGCTGTGACACTGAAGGCTCTGTTGCCAAATGTTTTCAGCTTGGAGCGCTGGATGGAGAGCAGCCCTTTGTCAGAGGACCGCAGGTGACGAGAGGGGGTGTAGGGCTGAAGGAGGTCAGAGATGTATGGAGGGGCTAGGGAGTGGAGAGATTTGTAAGTTAGCAGGAGGAGTTTGTACTGGATGCGTGACTTGACCGGGAGCCAGTGAAGGTGGATGAGGGTAGGGGTGATGTGTTGCCAGGGCTTAGTGTGGGTGAGGAGCCTGGCTGCAGAGTTCTGGACGTACTGGAGCCTGTCCAGGGCTTTGCTGGTGACCACGAACAGAACTCCATTGCAGTAGTCCAGACGAGAGGAGATGAAGGTATGAATTAATGTTTCTGCAACGGGGTCGGGAAGAGAGGGCCGGAGTCTGGAGATGTTTCGTAGGTGAAAGAAAGCGGTTTTGACAGTAGACCTGATGTGGGAGTTGAAGGTGAGGCTAGAGTCCAGAGTGACGCCCAGGTTGCGAACCTCAGGGGAAGGGTGGATGGAGCCGCCATCGATGGTGAGGAGCAGATCTCCAACCTTCCGGAGCAGTGTTTTTGGGGCCACAACCATGAGCTCTGTTTTGTTATTGTTGAGTTGAAGTAGATTTTTTGACATCCAGGCTTGGATGTCGCGGAGGCAGTTGACAAGTGACAGTGGGGGTAGCTGGGATGATGGATTGGTACTGATGTAGAGTTGGGTGTCGTCGGCATAGGAGTGGAAGTTGAGACCATTTTGGCGGATGATTTCACCGAGGGGGAGCATGTAGATGTTGAATAGAAGGGGGCCGAGCACCGAACCTTGCGGCACACCTTGGTTGACAGGGGCTGGGGGAGAGCTGGATTTTCCGATGGTCACAAACTGTTGCCTGTTGGAGAGGTAGGAATGGAACCAGGAGAGGGCTGTACCAGAGAGGCCAAGGTAGACGGATAGGCGGTTGAGTAGGATAGTGTGGGTCAAGTCAAGAGCAGGCAGGCATCTCTACGACTTATATTCCCCTCAGAAACGTACACCAAAGCAATCTATATTGATAAATAGCACTACAGGTCAAATGGAAAATATGTATTTTTGGTATTGTGGGTAAATCAGAATATCAGAAAGAATTTACTCGAGGGGAAATTTACAAAACTGTCCCTTTAAAATCAATCTTTTCAAAGGAAAGAATATTAAACTCATGAGAAATTGTGGTGTTAAAGTTGCAAATTCACTTTAAGGTTATCATTCTGCAAACGAATGGATTTCCCATAATTTAAAAGGCAAAAATAATTAACATAACCCAAAGGTAATTTTGTTGAAGTTCCCCTTAAAAGAAGAACATCAGAAGGAGTGAAGCAAGAACCTTAAGGTGGAGGGTCAGTGAACTCATCCACAATGTTTTAACAGAATAGTAATGAGCACGTTAATCCGCCTTACTTTAACCTCTTTCTTTCATGAACAATGTAACAATACACGCATGTGCCCACAGACGCACAAACACATACTCACCTGGCCTGTGAAAATGCTGAGGAGACCGTGACAGACTGGGGGTGTAACCATGGCGATTATAAACTGGTGATCCTATCGAGCCCTGACTGGTTGACCTTTGGAGGATGCGTTCCCTCCTGTCGTAAGAGCCCTGTCACACACACACACACACACACACACACACACACACACACACACACACACACACACACACACACACACACACACACACACACACACACACACACACACACACACACACAGGTTATTACATGACCTGCTGGTGTTAATACAAATTTGTATATACTGCATTTACATCACACACAGGGGATAATTGAAATAAAATGATATCCTCACCTCACCAGATGGGGTTGGTGACATGTTCCTTGAGGACTGGGAAGAATAAAACAGGTCTGAGTTATAACTCTGTTGAAAAGACCCTGTCTTAAAACAAGATCATTAATCTAGTTAATATAGCATTGCTCCATAGAGGCAAAAGAACCCAGACAGCCAGATAAATATCACTTAACCACTTTTAAAAAACACCACTATGTGCTGATCTTTCACATTTTGCAAGCTGTGTAGCTACAATGCACATGGTCTCATTTTTATGTGATGGTCACTTCTGCTCTTTCCTTTAAGAACATTTATCATCATCAGCACAGGTTGACATATCTTACCTTGTCATCGGGCAAGGGGGAACGCTCCCTCCTGGCAGTGTGGAGCTGTGAGGGACACAGCTGTTCAGTGATACATACAAGCTTTGAAAAGCATTAAAAGGCTTTCTTTGTGTATTGTAAAAGTCTTACCAGAAGAAAAACTAAGCCAACAACAAAACAGAGGATCATAAGAGGAACATTTGTCTTGATGCACAGTACTGTTTGTGCATTAAGACGCCATGCATGCAGGAAAAAGTGCATGCGGCCTGAGTGTTTACCTCTCCCACACTCTCTCGTCTCTCGTCTCTCTCATCCAGGGAGGTGGTGTACAAAGGTTCATACGTAATAAGATCAGGGCGCTCAATGTCATAAATGGCTTTGACTTTTGGAATGGCAGCTAGGTCTCGGTAATCAAGGATCTCATTGTCTACTTTTGCCTAGGGAGACAAATAAAAACATACATGCATACACACATAAGGGTAGAGGGAGATTACTACTATGGACATTTCTATAACTGACAAGGTCAAATAGGATGTTATTAAATAAGGGAATTTCTGACGAGTAAAACAGTTGTTACATCTATTTGGATGTAGGTCTATAATATTTCTTACATAGATCGTGTGACCCGGTGAGCCAGGTATGCTTGAACCAGGTCTGGAACAAATACTCTCTGATGACGACCTCGTAGGCTGTGAGAAGTAGAGAAAAACACACAAGTGGCGGTTAGTCGCAATAAGTCTGTTAGGAATTCAGTCTCCCATGATCCACAGCCCCCTGCCATCTGTACACCGTGATTATCACCCAAAACATTTCAACATTTCACTGTTGGGTTTTTATATTGTATGAGCGATGAGAGGGAATTGCAAACCCTGTATTTAAGTTTCATTAATAACATGAGCTACTTGGAAATACATGTCATTTCATGATTAGGTCATTCATTTGCAAATTTGCAAAGTGAATGAGCGCTTTTATGCATAGTGATTGTATGTCCTTGAAAACATCATGCCAGTTTATTTGAAATGAACAGTTTGAATGGCATCAGCGGGACTGAATGTAGCGTAATTAAAGGGATAGCTCAGGTTTTCTTCTAAATTGTGTTGTTTAAGGTACTTATCCACAGTCAGTGTATTACCTGAAGGACATGGCGGTTGGCAGCCGCCCAGTTTTGAAGGAGAAAGTAGTACTGACACAGTTATTAGCAATATAATGCTGTGGATGGTGGAACTGCAGCTGTTATTTATGCTCTTGCCAAAACCATTAGATTACATTGACAAAAACTGTCATTTTACAACACTAAACACGGAAGTGAACTTACTCAATTCAAAATACTACACAAATTACACAAACCGTCTGAGGCAGCAGTGGTCCAGAAACCTCTGTTATCTGTGTAGTAGAATTATTGTTTTTGTCAATGGAGAGCACAAATGGATGTAATAGCTACTGTTACCTGCCAGAAAGGCAGTGGCGAACCGTCAGGGCCTTCAAGGTATTCAGAGAATACCCTGGAATACTCAGATAAAACAAACAAAAAATCGATTTAATTATATAAATAAAATGAATATAAAATGAATAAATGAGAATGGTATCTGTGTTGTTGATCTGTAATATTACAGTGTTACGTTGATTTGTTTGTCCTTCTCGGACCATGCACTACGCATTTCAGTGGTTTTGTGTTAGAAAAGAAAGCAACCAATCAGATCTTGTTCTGGGTCTCTGGGTAGAATATCCTTCAACCAAGGTATTCTACATCCTTGATCGAATGCCCTGGCCGTTGCACTGAATGAGAGTGTATGTGTGGACTGACAGTTTGATCGGCGGGGTGTGTGTGTGTGTGTGTCTACAGAAGGTCCAGTTGTGATAGACACGGTTCGCCCACTGCAGAAAGGACTGTCTGTCAGCAGGGTAAAGCAGTGGAAATATAATCAATAATATTGATGGGTTTTTTCTGGCCTTTTTTTAGGTTTCTAAATGAAGTTTTGCTTAAGTTCTTTGCCAGTGGTCATGTGTGTTTCACACCTTCATACACTGACTATGGACCACATACATCTCAAACAATAAACTATCCCTTTAAATGAGCTTTTCACCTCACAGGTAGAATGGGGATTTGGAAGTCATATTGATATTGTGTCTGCTCTTTCAAATATGTGCATCATTTTGTTTAATGCACTTTGATATGAGCTTAGAATAAGGTGTTGAAAGACAAGACTGAATGGCTTCATATGACACAGAGAGGGCACTGCAGGCTGTCTCCAGCAGATGGCAGTATACAGTGCAGCACAGTGTCCTATGCACATGGTGGAACACAGGATGATACCATCTTATAGCCAATAGCGAATACAGTACCTGCCTTTCTGTTTTTTGGAGGAATAAGAGGGACGGAGGCAATAGCTGTGGAGGAAGGGAGAGGGGGGTTCACAGGACATCACACAGGGGTTCTGCCTCTCCAGCCCGACTCACAATTCACACACACATCAAGCTTGACATGTAAATATTATGCACATGAACACACACACACACACACACACACACACACACACACACACACACACACACACACCGGCTCAATAGGCAAATGATGTGAACCACAGCAGGTTTAGGTTTGATAGTTTACTGTTGGAGCTGGAACAGCTAATGCGGAATCCCTCGTTATATATTCCAATTTTTTTATCTTTTCCTGAAAAACATGTGTCAGGAGACACGAATAGAAAGGTCCTCTCAGTCAGGAAAAAGTCAGGGACAATGGAGTCAGTGAGGCCCAAATTCCTACCCGCTCTCTGTGTCTCTCCTCTGTTCGGGTGGTGTTCTTGCAGCCAGGATGCCACACCGTTGATCCTGAGGAGATGGAAAGCGAGAAAATATAATCAGGGCAACATATGGTTACAGTATATTCACATTATTAGTATGCATTTCCATACTCTGCCAACTATACAGATGGGCGACAAATGAGTTGTTACATGGGTTATTGACAGTCCTATTAAAGGCTGTCTAATACACACCTGGTACACAGCACATTGAAAAAAAAAGTATTATCCAAAGATGGTCTGTATTGAAATTTGCAACATGAATCAAGTCATCAAATGTTAAACATCATTATTTTCACACTAGAGCTGCAATGGCGTCAAATCAAAATGACCCGAATGAATTACACCATCATTAATAATGACTTGTTTTTACTTTCTTTTGTATTAAATGTTTAAACAAAATGGATGGTAAAAATAAAAGATGTTTGTGGTTTGAGTAAATGAATAATCCTTTTGATGAATTGTGTTCATCTCTTGAGCAGTTTCTGATCAATACACAGTTTCAGCAGTACAGCATATCAGCACACACATAATATTTATAGATACTTTCCCTTAATTTGTCACAAATCTATATACTGTCAATATATGAATAGGCTCCTTTGATTAATAACAGTAAAACAAGATATTAAAGGAGCAAGCAGTTCTGCAGTTTCTGTTTAACGGTTAACAAAAGTTTTCAGGTGGCTGTGACAAAGCATGTATTCCCGCTCACCTTGCAGATACATCTCTTCTCCTTCTGTGAACATCTGATTGCACCTGCTGCATCGCGCACAGCTGGGGTGGTAGTGCTTATCTCCGGCCTGGAAAACACAGAGCGCACAAAACAGACTTGACATCACAGCAATATGAAGATCAATGAAGCCCGCAGTAAAATGAGCGAAGCAGAGCTGCGTCTAAAAGGATAAAAACCCAGTGCTTTACCTGCTCTTAGCTACACCTGTCTTTCACCTCTGAGACCTAATGGAGTGGTTTCATCAGTTGTTGGAGAATATGTTCCCCTCTTATTGATCTGCAGGTTTAACGTAAATATTTTTTCTCCAACAGTTCATGTGAGAAGTAAGAAGTACTCAAATCCTTTATTTAGGTTAAGTAAGAAGACAGTAAAATACTGCGTTACAAGTTAAACTCCTTCATTGAAAATTCTGCTAAAGTATTAACAGCAGAAACAAATTCCGAAATATACAAAATAGCCTCATTTAGAGTATTCAATTATAGAGAATTCAAAGTCCTTATCTGATGCACAAGAGATAATATGTTACTATCATGCGCTAAAACGTGTTTCGGGGGGAGCTAAAGGGGCTCTCTCAGGAATGTGGACCTTTAACTATAACAATTGTGTAGGATGATCAAAGTAACAAACTTAACTTACTGTAAAAAGTCAATTAAAAGTATCATTTCTTCTTCTTTAAATGCAGTGAATTAAATACTCAAGTAATGTACAAGTTCCTCAAAATTGTACGAAAATGTAATAATGTCTGTTTGACACAGCCAACCTGCCTACAATATGAGAATGTTCCTCTTTGTGATAACCTGCATAATACGATCTAATAAAACGACTTGACGGCTGGAGCGTCTGAATTTCCTCTGCGTTGAAGTGGCACTTTGCATGCAGAGAGCACCCTTATAACACCAATGTGAGACTTTGACCAGGGGGTGATAAAATACCCAAATGAAAGTTTCCCCGCTGTATAACAACCCTCTCTCAGTAACATTTCAGGCAGGAAGTGGCCACTCAGAGATATGGAGCCTTGTATTTGCATTTTAACATTTGACAAAGCGCCAATAGCGAGAACTTCAAAGCTCTTTTGCAATACTCTCTTCACATACATTGTGAAACAGAATATCTCTCTCAGGGGTAATACAAGTACTTATGCTATATGTGTAGTATGGAATTACAATACTTTCCGTATTCCTCTCAGCTTTTAATATCTGGATTAATTAACCCTGCATTAATAAGCCATCCACATTACCCTCCCAGAGGACTCTGCAAACCCACCGATGGCTCAGCGCTATTTGACCCTGGTCTTGGGTCAGCGATTAGACTATCAGACAGACTGCTGTGGCTGTGGCACCACTGATCCATTGGCAGAAGCTCAGTGGTGAGATGCCTAGGCCTTTTCCTATTGTCACAAAGTCCTGCCCTGGTGCTGGATTACTAAAAGCCTTGCTGTGACATTTTGGTACCATTTAATGACCAAGAGACCCGTGAGCAGAGTTGTTGGTAACACTTTATATAATCTCTTAAATAAAAAGAGTTTCATAACAGCCGCGTGCCATGAAGTATTAATTAGCAGTGATAACTTCTGAAATGTCACATCACATTAGGTGTTTTATTAAATATTTATATATATCAAATCAAATCAAGTTTTATTTATATAGCACATTTATAAACGATTTTTGGTCGAGCCAAAGTGCTTTACATATAATAAAAATAGCCTACAGTAGAGACACTTTACAGCAAATACAACAGCACAGATTGTTCAGAATATCAGTATGAGAAAAACGACACCCTCTGTCCTTAGACCCTCACATCGTACAAGGAAAAACTTCTAGAGAAAACCCCACAGTTTAAGGGGAAAAATGGGAGAAACCTCAGGGAGAGCAACAGAGGAGGGATCCCTCTCCCAGGACGGACAGACGTGCAATAGATGCCGTGTGTAAATCGAAGAGATAATACATTTTACAGCATATAGACCGAATGTTAGGAAATGCATGTGTCTGTAATAAGAAGATGAATCCACGAGGATGCATACAAAGCAAGGTTGTATGTGCAAGCATTTATATTGAGGAAGAGCTAGAAAGATGTAAATATCTCCTAAGAATTAATCTTTTAGTTGCAAACCATCATGTCAAGAGTCTATTTGGCTCTGTGGCCAAGGGATTACACTGCAGCTTATCAAACTACATTTCATAATTCCACTCTGAGGCATCATCCTGTCTGTGTGGGAAGAAGAATTTAGATTTTACAACAAACTCCTAAACTGTTTAAACTATGAACCTACATCCACTCAATAAAATATTCATTTAAAACCTGAAATGTATTTCCTAAATGCATCTGGTGTAATTGTAATGCCTACAAATTCAAATTCTAGAAGCATTCAGCTCTAAAAAAAATTAAGAGACCACTCCAATTGTATTTAAATCTCAATCTCTACATGTATAGCAGCCATTCCATTCCAGTGTCTCTTGAATTCCAACACAACAATAGAATACAATATATATTAACACATACCTTTAAATAGTAAAACCAGAGAAACTGATAATGCTGCAGTGGTCTCTTAATTTTTTTCAGAGCTGTATGTTCCTGTAACATACCTTAGGCAGGATTTATATGAAATCCAGGTGCAATATTAAGTCCATTTGCCTGGCCTAAGCAACCATCAGAGGGATGTTGAAGTTGAAGAATGTGAAGTGTGTGTGTCTCACCTCTAGCACCTTCCCTGTGATGAACTGATGACACGCCTCACACTGAACTCCAAAGTGGATCTGGTAGTCTTTCTCACAGTAGGGGGCGCCATCCCTGAGAGGAGACAGACAAATATAAACAGCAGGGACTTAGATCCTAGGACATTTCATATTCTGTGTGAGCATATGGTGTAAACATTACTAAGGCCTGTAATTAAGGTGAGTGTGAGCCGCTTACTTGCTGATGTACTCCCCGGTCAGCACTTTGTTGCAGGCCTTACACTTAAAGCAGCCCAGATGCCATTGTTTGTCCAATGCTAGAAGAGCCTGTCCGTTCTTAATGTCTCGACCACATCCTGCGCAATCTGCGGATAACAGCAAAAGTTGCTCAAAAAGATGAAGTGTTCTTAAGTTAACAACTACAAGAAAATACAATATCGGAGCAAGGAAATGCCTAAAGAACAAATACATGCTCATTTGAAGATTTGTTTCTTGTGAAAACAGTATTACACAACAAATGCTTATAATAGCATGGAGTGAGACGTCTTGTCAGTTCTGACCCAAGACACTAGATGGTGACAGAGTGTTACCACCAACGTTCTGACAGCTGCCTCTTTCTATCATCCACTGCTCTCCACCATGGCTCTAAAAGCTCACTCCATATCCAAGTGGGACCCCGAGGCTTTAAAAGTGCAAGGGCTTGGTTTCTAAACCTACAATCTTCCTGTAAACTCTTCTTTAATGAATAGAGGATGAAAGCAACACAGAGCCCACTGCAACCACAGGGGACGATAACTACGTAAGGCATAACGGGGCTGCGATGACGACGTGAGGAGAATCAGCATGCCTTATTCATAGATGACCTTGTCTAAAAGCTCTTCAAACGCCAACAGAGATACCAGTGGGGGGAAAGAGAGTGATAGAGAAAGAACAGGAAGAGGAAGAGTGGAAAAAGAAAGAAAGAAAGTGATCAGAGGAGGGGTTTGAGGGCTGCACGTTCGTTGTGCCAGAGGACAGGAAATGCATGGACATGCATTATTTAGAAGGACCTGTCTTGGTGTTAGTCATAAAGGAACATGGCTGGTCTAAGACAAGGCTGCGAAAAGAAGAGAATGAATGATACCTCAACATTATTCAGTCTTTAGGCATAACTGGGTAGTGTGAGAGCTACTTACAAGGTTTTTTCTCTACAGTTAAATGGAATTGTTGACCAACTGGGATACACAAATTACCCCTTAACATTAACCTTGTTTTCTCTTAAAGGAATTGTTTGACGTTTGGGAAATTCCTTATCTTACTGAGAGTTAAAAGGAGAAGGACAATGTTATGTCTGCCCATTTAATATAAAGGTACAACCAGCAGTCACTTAGCTTGTATTAATACAAGCTAAGTGAAGCTAAGCTAATTACCTTAGTTGCTGCAGGAAACAGCTAGCCTGGCTCTTTTCAAATTAACCAAAATCGTCCTACCAGCACCTTAAACACTAACTGATTGAAATGTTGTATTTAATACGTTTGCTAAGCTAACTGGTGCTGGCTTCAGATATTTGCTTTATCTGGGCAGAACACTCAGAAAGATAGCAATAGTCTATTGAAAGCTAGAAGATTTCCCAAAAAGTAAAAATAACCTCTCATTTTACGTATCTTAAAGCTTGGAAAACTCATCACTGAGTGACATTTTCAATTACAAATATTATTTTATCTGCACTATTTTATTAAATGAAAATATTCTAGATGGGCCTCATTGTAAACACACTCTGCCCTACATTTCAAAGGTGGGGTAGGTAAGTTTGAGAAACTGGCTCGAGATACCGTTTTTGTTATATTCCATGGAATGCTCTTAACATCCCGATAGCAATGCATATCTTAAGTGCTTTGACAAAAAATCCATACAAAAATTTCATCTGTGGAAGCCGTAGTAGGCCTACTGTAAAAAGCACGACCAATCATTTTAGCCGGCCCGGCTAAAATAACTGGATGGCCTACCTGCCTGTCAGCCTTCCATCTGTGCACAAACTTATCTCGTGCCCTCATTGGTCATGTGCGTGTTTGTGTGTGTTGGAGGAGGGGCTCTGTAAGGAAGTGGCAGATTTTTTCTGGCTGTGTATTTTCAAATTCTAAGGCACTCGAGCTGGTTTCTCCAAAATTACCTACCCCACCTTTAAGATCTTTGAATCGGCGAAATGCAATTGATTTAGTTTTTATTTGTATATAGGCCTATGCTTATTTAAATAAATTCCAAACTGAATTGTAGATTACATTGCAACTTTGGACATGGAAAGGCCGATACTAAATGCATTTTCTTTTGAAAATAGAGTAAAAAAAACGAACATACTGTCCTCCCCTAGTATTCAAAGTCATGTTTATTTAGGTTTGAATGTTTGGATGCACAGCACTTGGTAATGACTGTTAATGAATCCAGATGTATGGCAGTTTTAAATAAATTGTTGGCAAGCTTGCCTGATTTAAACCTGAATACTATTCTTCACAGTGCTAATATCACAGCTGAAGTGACTGGGCAACAGCTACATTAAATACCATGCATGAAAATATGTGTGGAAGACAAAATACCTGTACCCTCATGTGAAAGCAAATGCCTTTCTGTGCATTAAACATGTGTGTATCTTTCATTAGCCAATGGTGACTTACTGCTGGAGCCGAGGATGTCCTTTGGTCCCGGAGACATTGGCTCCACACAGTACTGACACAAGCAGTCCTTCCCGTTGAAGGTCACCCTGTCCCCGGCGGGGAACGGTCGTCTGGAAGAGGGGTGACATTAACAATTGGTAAACAAGACAGGAGCTGTGCCCCCGTGCTAAGTGTAAGAGTTTATGAGATGTGGCTTGTAGTTGACAGGAAGACATGATGTGTGTCAACACTCAGCGCCTAAGGAGGATATTTAATCTAATCTGATGACACACACGTAACACACAGCATGGTACATCGTCTCAGGGAATTCTCACTGTCACTTCACATGATGATGAGCAGAATTTAATTTTATTATTTTGGACACTGTAAGATCTAGATAACTTCACTAAGTAGAATGTGTGGGGATTTTTTTTAGAAATGATAGACATATTGGAAAACAATGAACCTGAACAACAAAGATATGTTTTTTAGTACTAAGCCAATCCGAAAAGACTGACATACTTTCAAGCCCTTTACCTTTCTGACATACCTGTCAAAGGCACAATGAATAGGATTATACATTAAAAAAACAATGGATAGTCTATACAAAATAATCCATCTCAATCATCACTAATTACCAAATAGGTGTAAGTAGAATACAATCAAAAGAGTTCATTCTCTGGGTTTATCAGTGGTTTATCATCTTTATCGTCTTACTTGCATATGGTGCAGACAAAGCAGGCAGGGTGGTAGGTCTTGCCCAGGGCAGTGACCACTTCCCCCTCCACAAAGTCCCCACAGCCATTGCAGCGGGTGCCGTGCATGCGTTGGTAGTCCAGCGTGCACAGATAGTCTCCATTCTTCATGAAGAACCCCCCCTGGGCGAGGTCACAGCCACACACTGTACGAGACACACATTAGCGCTGTGTGAGTCAGATCATTAATGCTATGCCTATAGTATACAGGATAACAGAAACAGCATCCAACCACCAAGCCACCCAACTCTTCCTCACATTAATGGCTTTGTTCATACTTGCTAGTCTTCAAGGGTCATTGAATTCCTAAAGTCAATGCTGAGAAATATGTTTTAACAGCTGTGTGCATTACAATGTGTAGTAAAACGTGAAACTCCTTTCATCAGTGCTCACAGTCTCAATAAGAGAGACCCTGAACCTCTCTCTTTGAAGGAACTCTGCATGGAGGGCTTGTGTCAATTAATCATCAGCACTACTACTGCAAGGTATTTTCATTGTCAAAGTTCTCAATGGAATAACAATGATATAATAGTAAATACCAAGACATGGCTTTGATCTGATTCTGAAGATAACTGGCTCTAAATACTACCTACTTGATAACAAGCTTCCTTCTATTCAAATCTAACCTTGTCATCTACAAACATGAAAGACTGTCAAAGGCAGAATTACTCATTTGGGAACAGTTTTGAATAATTGTAAGGTTGGTGTGATGCTGTTATCAAGTATTACAGCTAACCATATTTAAAGTTTACTATATATATGTGTGTATGGCAGTGCTAGCATGCTGATGTTTAGCACATACTCTACTATGAGTGTGGCACTTCCTGTTTACAGGCTGCGTCTGTGGTGTGATGAGGTTGATCGAATATTGCAAAAGCAAAGCAATGTGGTTCCTTGACAAAAAAAGAAATATTTTCAGAGTTATTGTCTTGTTAATTAATGACTTGAATGTAAGGGAATTTCGGAGTGCTTTCTCGTAACTTTTCCCTATGGATCTTTCTCTAAATATCAATCCCCTAACCAGTCCAATCCTTGTCCCTATAATTGCCCTGATATGCTGTATTATAAAGTGTTGGACTAATACTAATTGAACAATAGTGATATTGCAATTGATCCATTTTACAGTGGTTAGACATTCAACCCAACATAACATGGTGGTGCTGAAAGAAAAGTCATTAGGATTGTTCTTCTGGAAACAATAAATCTTTACAAGCCAATCCATTATATACAATTGTTGATCTGATTCGGACCAACAGACAGACCCAACATTGAAAAAAACATGTTCTCCCATGGTTCAACATATTTTGTAGTGCTGATGTCATGTAGCCTAAGGTGTCTAATTTATGGCTTAAAATATGGCATATTTTTTACGTGAAATTCCCATGATTTTCCCATTTCATATGACTCACTGTCTCCATATGTAGTGTTAACTCCAGATACGGTTTGATCAAGATCCAGATGTTAGGCGTGTCTGCAGTATTTCAACCACATAACAATCACATGTGCCATGTCCACTATTCCAGAACCGCAGAGTAAGGCTGGGATCGTAGTAGCCTTTTGAAAAGGGCCACGGCTAAAAGGGAAAATATTTTGATGCCTGAGACCAGGGCACCTAATCATTGTTATGCAATGAGCCAGGCTAAATCCAGATTTAATTGCATTACAGCTCAGGGCTGATGAGATTAGCTTGTAAACTATCTGAGTCAAAAGAAAACCAGCAATGGGGATTTGGTGGCCTTTCATTGTGAAGTCTGACCTTAGCTTTTCAACAGATGCATGCCATTAAATCAAATGCCTCTTTGCAATGTATCCAATTAAATTGACGGGAATTCAGGGAAATTGAAAGGTTGTTCTCTGATGAATTTCGGTTTAGGGTTTCTTGGCCAAGGAGGTAATATAAATGTCAAAAGTGAGCTCCAGGGATGACATTCTTTTTAATTCCAACACAGGAAGTTAACATCGTACTGGTTTCCTTAGAAGAAATCATTAGATTTCAGATTACTTTGGCAAATAAGCGCTGTGGCAAAAAATATATACTTTGTAGTTACACCTTTGTTAAGTAGTCTATCTCCTCATATTAACACAATTGTATAACTTTTGAAGCATTAATGAAATGGCAAAAAGTAAAAAGTAAATTCACGGCTTTAAAAAAACTTAAACACATTCCAAGGCTGACAACTAAGCTAAATATAGACTAGTGTTTGGCGTGATGAAGAACCGCTGTTTTTGAGCCACATACAGTATAAGCTTCTGAAATGAAGAAGTGTGGTATTTAATGATGTATTTCATGCCTTAGAACAAAACGGTTAAATCTCTTGAACTTTTTTAACTTTAAACATGATTTTAAGCTTCTTACCAAAAACCAATTCATAAAAATACATTGACTTTAAAACAAGGAAGCGGAAATGCTAAAATGTTAACTCATTTCAGTGTTTATACTCATTTCTTCAGCTCCTAATAAGCTTACCTGACTTGACCACAACTAACAACTACGGTATAATTAGTCTTACAAGTTGGAGAATCACATCAGCACATATACATTTAGAACAAGGATTAGCATGGGGTGTCTGGAAGCAGTTATTGTGTATTCTTTGCAACCACTGACTTGTGTGCAAACACACACATACACTCCACACCACCTAGGCATATATATCCACTTGTAAAGGACAGATATAGGTCTTAATCTTAGCGTTTGCTTGTGTGATCCTGTGACCTTGGTGACCTAATCTACCTCTATAACAGTGCTCCTGTCACAGATCCAAAAGGTCTTCAGCAGAGAAGCTTGATGGTTTCATCGTAATCAGAGATCCATCAGTAATTGGGATAAACGAAGGATTTGCACTGTCACTAGTCAGAACAGTCTTGATGATACTTTAATTAAAGTACGAGTGTCTGAGAAGTGGAGATGAGTCATACCGTGTATCGTACCCCCTTCGTTAGAGGAAGATGGGAAGGACAGTGTAGCCTTTAGGGACAGCTCCTATCCAACTTGATGTGATTTGGATGCTTTTTGGGACAGTTCGTAAAAAAAAACTATTTCCGTTGCGCTTTGGTATTTTGTTTTGAAAAAACTGAAACGTTGACTTATTATGTCAACAAACTGTGTTAGGTTGGTTGAAAGCAATACTATTAAGTTGGACTTAATATTTAAAACGTATTATTATCACTTTCAACTAACCTAATACAGTTATGTGAAATCTGTTGACATAATACATTTAATTTAAGTCAATGTTTGAGTTTTTTCAGTATAAGGAACCATTACACATTATGACTCTTCTATACCTTTTGCAAAAGGGAGCATCAGATTTATCAATGTCAAATGTCCTCCTACTTTAACAGTATGAAACTAGCTGAATAATAAAACTTCACACCTTAGCTGCCAATTTTCCCACAACCCCCACATAATTATTTCCAATTTAGGACAGAAATAAGCTGTCTGATGATTCCTTTAAAAAAGAAAATTACACTTAGTTACTAAAGAACAGTTTTTTTTATTTTAACATCAGGGTTGTCTCACATTGAGTAAAGCTGAGCCAAACCAAAACCAGTAAATACTTCCCATTCAACACCGTTTAAAGACATACAATGGCCGTACCTTTACAGGTGAAGCACTTTAGGTGGAAGTGCTTGTTCTGCACCCGCAGCACCTCGCCCTTACATGGCTCCCCGCACTTGTAGCACTGAATCAGGGGCTTCTCTGAGGAGTGGTGGTGTGTCTCCTGCGCACGAGCCACTGCAAAAGAGGAGACAAAACCATTACTATCGAAATGTGATGTTGATGAGTCATGGTCGCTCTGTGCAGTTTTTGTAACATTGCTTCCAGTTTTTTTTTTTTTAAACAGTTGTGTTCATGAGAGGACACGTGGTGAATCTGCAGCATCACACAGACCCCAGAGATGAAGACCTACTGCTGAGAGCCTGTCAGGTTAAAAAAAGAACAACATTGAGCAGGACAGCACAACTTGGGGTTCTCTGCCCAGACAGGCTCTCTAGAGATCAACAACCTAAATATAGTCTGTCTTGATAAGTGGAGGATGGAGAAGCAAAATGCTGAGGGGAGCAGGGCTTGGTAAATGGCACACTAAAAGGGTATTGATAAAATCAGTTTCACTATTGAGTTTTCTTTAATTTTACCCTCAAAGGAAAAAATCAAAGGCCATTTACTGTCTTTGCCTATGCTGCCAGTACTCATTTTGCAGGGCATGCTATATATGGCTTCTTATGCCATGTTTAGAAGGTAACTTTTTGTGTCAAACACTTCTGTCCTATTCTTCTCTGCTGATGTTTGACAGTAAGCAGAGCATGGCACTCAGATGAGATAACAATAAAACAGAGCAGGCCAAATGTTTGCTGTGTTTGAATAGCTCGCTCTGTGGAAGTTGCAAATCAGCAAATTAAATAAATTGTTCTAAAAAGACTTCCCGTAAAGGCCTTTATATTTCCCAGCTACACAGCCTGTGTGCAGATACAAGAAAAGCAAGAATAAGACCTATAATGACACTCGAGACTGCGGACCTCTGCCAAGGCCATTTCAATCAGTGAACAATTATGGGTGTATCCGCCTTTTGATTCGGATCTGCTTCAAAATGTAATAGGTTCTCCCTTGGCCAATGCCTTTCACCTGGCCATTAGTTTTTGTGTAATCCTTTTGACAATCAGACAAACACACCAACAAGCAAAAAAACTAACAATTTCAAAAAGTTAGATTTTCTACTAGCAACTTACACATATGCACAATAAAAGGGTTACAGCCACGCTAGCTTTGAGAGGATGTTCTTAGGCACAGCTGTGCTTTGAGCTAAAAGCTAACGTCAGCATGCTAACAGGCTCAACATTAAAATGCTATCACATTGAAGTTGAGCAGGTGTAATATCACTATGTAAGCAAATTTAGTTTTGTTTGTTAGCCTGCTGATGTTATAAAACTGCCATTAAACACAGGTACAGAGTGTCTGACAGAGATATAAATAGTTTGTTGTAAAAAAAAAACAATCAAGTTATGTTGACCTAATAGCATTGGTTAACCGTGAGGATGAATGGAGTATTTAGACCACATTTCATGGCATACAATCCAATAGTTGTTAAGACTGGGACCAGGAACCATGAATGTTCTGTGCCAATCCATCAAGTATATGTTGAGATATTGTACTTGATAGATGGAAATGTTTACCTATTGGTGGCGCTAGAAGAAAAGTCGGAGGATCCCCGGTTTAATTAGTGGACCAACAGAACAACATCTCTGCCACACTGGTGCTGCCGACATGGCTACGAATAGTATTAAATAAAGATTTAGACATCACTTTCTTTTTGTGTCAATCGGGACAGCCATGATAATGAGACAGAAACTCCATTATCAACTTACTTTATCTCTGAAACAGCATCAAGTGCAGTGGCGAGCCGTCAGGGCCCTCTAGGCCCTTTCTGAGGGCCTAAGATATTCTACAAAATAATATTTAAAAACATTAACAAATATTAAAACATATATTTTTTTAGTTATATTTTTCAGTAGTTTTAACAAAATAACTTGATTTAATTGTATTTAAAATAACATTTCCAAAGAAATAAATCCTTTGAATCTGCCTATTCAGTTTCTGTTGGAATGTGAAGGGTTAAATTAAAGAAGCTCGTCTCTGCGAGGTGAAGATAGGAGCTGATTGGTGGTCCAGCTACGAATTCACAGAGGGCCCAGCTATAGAGAGGCGATGTCCCGCCCATCTACTTCCGACCCATGGGACCTTATTTCGAAAAAAATCATGTATTGAAGTCAATGGGGAGAGAAAACTTATCTTTCGATCCCGTTTGAATTGCGCCACGAATTACACATATGATTTTTGTCAATCTTAAAAAATAATTTCCATGTCAAAAAGTCACAGTTTGTCGTAAAACTGTTGAAATATAAGACTATGAAAAATATGCAACTAGGGTTTTATTATCGCGGACCTTATGACAAGTTCCGCCCGCTGTGAAGCTTTTCTTGTTTCCATAGCAACAACAACTTCCTGTCAACAGCGTAAACTCGCCTTCAAAATAAAAGCATGCCAAATTACACTTAAGACATACGACAAACACAATGCAATATCCTTTTCAATTTCAAAGAACACAAATTAGGTTATTTACAGGTGTTGTTTTGTGTGGTAGAGGGTCGCTGTTATTGATTCGTTTTGCACCCCGGGCCGTTGTTTTTGATATTCCGCTGAAGTATACGCTGTGACGTAATAACTCTTTTTTTTTTTTAGAGGGAAGGGGTGGGGGTCAGAGGGGGCCTAGGTATAAAAGTCACGGCTCGCCACTGATCAAATGTTATCCTTGGATCAGTGGCTTGTGGCCTTCTCCAGTAGAAACTTTGGGTCCCTGACACTGACAGACATTAATTCAGCCGTACTGTACGCCACGGGATGTAAATACTGCTGCAGTGCCGCACTGCACACAGCTTATCGGCTGTTCTGAAACCAGCAGATTATTTCACATTCAGGAGCATTAACTAGCAAGGCAGCCCCTTTCGCTCTCATTTCCTCTGTCTCTTTCTTTTTCAAACAAAAATACACACCCACATAAACACACACACATATTTCATAAAGAATCCACATGAAAGACCTTGCTCTTCTGCTCTGCAATGAATCATTAGTCTGCAAGGCTAACAAAAGACACCACCAAAGGCACAGAAATAGCATCATGCTCAATCGATGATCGACCAACGAGAGACATTATTCTGGATTATTAAGGACTGGCCTACCTTGCATCCTTCGTACCAACCTCTATATTTGCAGAGGCTGATATAAGGGGGTGGTTTATTTCCAGGAAATGAGTCCTCAGAACATTGTATTTTCGTTTTGGTTTGTTAGCATGTTTGTCAGGTTGTCAAAAAATAATTACTGAAAAACTAAAGATGGGGCCCAATAATCCTAATCTTTGGGCTATGTTGGTATGTTGTGCCTCTACTGTGACATGTTTACTTGCTTTATTGTTCAAAATGCTCTTTATTTTAGAGCCCAGTCTGCTCTGATTTGTTAGCTGACTGGCCTTGTTGTGATTGGTCAACCGCTTAGAGATGTCCTGCCCCTTAGCCTATCATGTACATGTGTTAGAGCACTAGCCAATAGAAGCGTAAGAGTTACGTAGTGATGTCACAATGTCGCGGGAGTGTGTGGGAGAGAAACTCCTTCTGGCTTGATTCTAGCCTTTGCGGACCATTTACATGCACACAAACCAATAGATCACACTACAGGGTAGGGAGAACACTAAAAAGCATTATAGGGTGCCTTTAATACACTTTGTAGAAGGTTGAAGTATGGGCCAAGGAAGAGCCCATTACATTTTGGACCACATCTGAAACATAGGGTAGATACACACATTTGTTTCACTTACAGCAAAGTCCTTGGCCTTCTAGTTGTCTTAAAAATACATCTAAACAGATTCAGCTAATTCTTTAGGAGACAATCCACAGTGCATGAATCTTTTCATACTTTGGTTTGAAAAGTAAATCAGAGAAGTTGTGAAAATCAGTGAACAAGGAGACTGGGAACAGGAGGGAGGCAGGAAGCATGGTGTGTATGAGAAGGTGGAGGATCGGCCTCCCTGGTGTCTCTGATGTAATTACACTCAGCAGGACAATGAGTCATCTCTGGGAGAACCAGACTACTATGACAGAGGGATGAGTCTCAGCAGCTCTGTGTGTGACATTGCACCTCCATAGAAAAACACAGGCCATCTGGGTAACTGCACTCGGCTAAAATATTCAATCCAATGAGTCTTTTAATCCTCAGTAACACATTTCTTCTTAAAACAATGTATGGGAAATTAGTTCATCTTGAAAAACCTATTGTTATATTTGTAATTATTTTTGTTCAACAACTATTTGTATCAGCAATGATAACACTGTGGGCAAATAAAGTAGTTGCTAAGATTTGGAAACATAGACATTCATACAACCAAATCTGACAAGACAGGAAATTATTAGACTGTATTTGGAGGCGAAACCAGAAGTGAGCACATAATAAATCGTCAAACTATGATGGCACAACTAAAGGAAGTACAGAAGGCCAAAGTGGAACCAGGGATTGACCATGTAAAAACAAATGAAAGCAGGTGACAGAACTTTAAAATACAGTTTAGATGGTAAAACTGTGTTCATCCACCAATGTCCTAAGTAAAATATAAAGACATCTAGCCTGCACATTTTAGGGTGTACTTTCAAGGAGTATGATAAAAAGGTGACCTACACAAATTTGACCTACAAAAACAAACATTTGGGAAGCCATTAAAATCCTTTGAAACATATTTTGATTGTATTATATTAAGAAGATAATATTCAGCTGGGGAACACAGGACTCAGGAAAAACTGAAACTCTCCGGACTTTATTTACTTTACTTTTGTCACTCACTCCTGCGTTGACAGAGGAGCCTCACAACATTCCTTTTACTTAAACACATGCATATTTTTTTATTTAACACTTAAAGAAATAGGGAAAACAAAGCAAGGTTGTTTCACAGACAGGCAGCCCTACAGTTAGGATTGCTCCAGCAGCTAGCTTAGCCTTGGTGACTGCACACTGTTTTACAAAACTCCCGACCTGAGCTATGGGAACACACTTTCAACTCTAAACAAAACTAGGTTATTCCTGAAGGCATTGGCTGAGAAAGCATAAACTTTTGAATAAGACAACTTCTCTGCCTCTTCTCAGCTCAAGCCTCTGCGCAAAGCAAGCCAGACCCAGTCCAGTTTGTAAAGACTTCA